ATCCCCCTTGCAATGTTGGATAGAAGGTGACCAAGCAGTTAAGTTTCAAGCTATGTCAGGACATTCTTTGGAGTTGAAATGTAAGCGCTGGAACGCCTTATACTTGTGTACCCTTAAATTGGGTAGTTTTGTGGTTTGTGTGCAGAGAGAATTGGTATGGTATGATACCGGTAGCACGTGTTCTACTATCCCAAGGCCCTGAACGCGTCATCAAAGAGTAGTAAAAATCACGATTGAGCAGGCTTTAAACTCTGAGCTGGACGGAAATCCAGCTACTGAGTTGGACGATTTGCTCAAGAGAAACCTGAACGGCCGTGGCTGAGCGAAAACTCAGCGCGGTCCGATTTGATGGACGGAAATCCCGGCGTCAGCAGAATTAGCCCGATCGACAGCTGCTGCAGCTGTATTCGATCCGCAGGCGCTGGCGGCTGCCAGTACATTATAATTATGTGTTCCGATCACTCAGAGCTGGGCGGAAATCCAGCTGCTGGGTTGGACGATTGTGCTCAGGAGGAGCTGGAACGGCCGTGGCTGAGCGGAAACTCAGCGTGATCCGATTTGACGGACGAGTTCGACGGTCGTGGTACACCAGTATGGTAAACAGCCAGCTGTGTTATGCTTCAGCAGCATTCTACCCAAGCCTCACAGCTCAGCTTCTCGACCGTTTGGGCAAGATCAGCAAGGCTGGAGTCAGAGCTGTGTTTCAGCTCCCTCGTCAACGTCAAACACCGACCGCACCTCTTATTTCTAGATTAAATATTTCCCCACTGATCCACCATTTTAAGCTCAAGATTGTTGTTTTTGTCCATAGATGTCTTGCCTCCAATGCAAGCATGCTATTTTCGCCTTTCTTTCTGTTGATCGCTGAACCTGGTCTTGAGCAAAGCACACGCCGTGTTACACGTGGCCAGATCTCACGTCTTCTCCAAATTCCATTCGTTCGTGGACCAGCATCTCGAGCGTCCATGCAATTCGTGGGCAGCGTGTATTGGAACAGGCTTCCGGCAAATATTCGTTGCCATGAAGATATTCTGGATTTCAAAGCCCTGCTGTGCCCAGATGTTCTTGACACGCTTTCTCTGTCTTGACTCATTCGTCAGACATGTGCATTTTGATCTTTTGGTTTGGTCTCTAATCGACAAACTGATTTTTCTCCTCAAATACCTCAACTTCTCTCAATTTTCATACATCTGCTTCGTTTATTCCTTACTCTTTTCTTTCTATCTTTTTCTTTTCTTTCCCTGTCATTTGATCACTGTCACTCACATACAAATACCGTCATAAAATATAAAACACAAGATTTTCTCATCTTTTTCTATTTCTTGTTTTTCATTAGCTTTAGCATGTTCATTCACATTCTTCATCATTTGTGAGAACTAGACCTGGTCTAGTGAGAAGGCATTCTACTGCCTGTAATTCTGGTGAAGTAAAATAAAGAAACAACAACAACAACAACAACAACAACAACAACAACAACAACAACAACAACAACAACAACAACAACAACAACAACAACAACAACAACAACAACAACAACAACAACAACAACAACAACAACTTGTACCATCAAAGACATCAACATGAACACGGTGTTGTACGGTATAAGGATGTCGTATAGTATGTCGTACAACAGTAGGATGAAATTGTGGGAGAAAGCAGCGACCGCTTGGGAAAGATTAACATTACAACAGTCGTATTGTGAGTGATAGCCAGGCCAAGTCAGGCCAAGTTTCTGAAGATCAGTAGCGAGTGCTATCCCGAGCATTATGTTAGCATTACAAAAGCATAGACAGGATACGCGAGTAAGAGGGTACAGTGTCCTACCCTGCTTGGACCTAACCTCTCCTCACAGACAGTCTCCTCCTGAATTTAAAAGTCTAACAGCGTTCACGTCAGTACTCAACTCATTCTTTTGCTCACTGAGCAATACAATCTTTTCATTTTCTTTCTTCTGTTTTCTTTTTCAACTTAATCCTCCCTACCCGATTTCCCTTTGGTGCGTCCCTGGAGCTATGCAAAATTGCCGGATTAATTTTTATAAATCATACATTCTTCCCCTCTTCACGTAGAATCTACGGCCTCCCTGCCTGGTCCACCATTAACAAAACCCACATAGGTAAATTACAAGTTCTCCATCGCCGTATACTGCGCATCACCCTGGCACATTCAATTTTTCTTGACCAGCACCCTGCTCATTTACAGTTCCTTAATTGGTTCAAGTCAGGTGGCGCCACCCGAAGCTGCGTTCGTCTCCCCCTAGCTAGGTCTACTCTATTTCGTGAATTCCTCTTTCTTTTCCTCCTACTCCACGTGGCTCCAACTGCCTCCCAGTGTTAGACAAGCTCCAGATATGCCCAAATTCCGTGCCCTCGTCAGATAGCACTTCAGTATCTCCCAGTAAACAAAATTACAGCCACCACTTCCGCTGCATAGCTCGCTGAGCATCCCATTGCTTTGTAAGTTGCTAATCCCTTCCCACTTTGTGTACGTGCTCTTCATTTTCTTTTTTTCTCTTCTTCCGTGGTTGGTTTCACCCTCTCCTCAATTCAATTGGCTGTCTTGACATGCCACGAGGTGCAGAAATAAATAAATAAATGAAGCCGAGACCTCTGGTCGGCTGAGCTTAATGGGCCCCACCAACACACTCCATTATTCACCCCAGTGTCTGGAGATATGTGGATTCTGTAGAAAAAAAAGAAAAAATGCCTCTTTTGCCGTCGGACAGTATGCGCATCGTAGGAGACTGTAAAGTTATGCAATGTGCTCCACAGGCAACCATGCATTAAAGGGGAACTCCGGTCCAAAATCACCCCCATTTTTTATTGCGGAATCCATTAGAGTATGTCGTAAGTGGTAGAATGGCGAAAACCGGAAGCTTCTACGACAAGGATAACATACCTAAATTACCAATTGCAATTTTCCATATTTGGCACGAGGGGGCCCCCGCCCACCCTGTGACGTAAAACGTTCTCAGTGACCTCCAAATTTTTTTATTCAAATGGTAGACCTGCAGAAATTTTGAAAAAGGTATTCACTGTTTTTTCTTCAATCAATAACCCTTGTACTAGTATTCATTCGATCATCATGTTGGAGGAAGAGGAGACCACGGGAGGTGTGGAGGTGGACGCCACTTCGGATTCAACAACACCGAGGCCTTTTAGGTTCGAGCCGAAGCGCGCATCAGCGTCTGCGAAACTGTCTACAAGTAATATTTCTGAGACTACAAAACAGATGAACGTGAAGAGAACGCTTTGGTTGCAAGTGCTCGCGTGAGAAGCACTGCTTGATGCCGTTGCGGACAATGCAGCATGATGTGGAGCGAGGTCGAGTCGACTTGTTGCTGGGAGGTTCCTGCAGCTTTCAGTAAACGCGGCGAGCAGGAAGGGCTGCAGTGCGTCACGCAGCACTCAGAGTTTGCTGTTGTTTGCCTGCAAAAATCAGTGCTCGAGGTGGCATTGCTTTCCTTCGAAGAATTTCGGGCAAGGTGTGGACCGTGGTCAAACAGGTGAGGATTCACTGAATCGGTTTCATTATTTCCTTTCTTTCCATGTTTCATGTACCGGTACAAAGTAGATGGGAAGTGTTGTGCAATGATTTTGTGTACAGTATTCAAATTCACCAACTTCCATCACACAATCATGAAGTTCTATTGCACCCATGCCAATATAATTATACTGCTACAACGATGTCTTTCATTCATACTATTCCTAGCACTGTAAGTGTTTCAACTGTGTGTAAAAGTGATGTAAATTTGAAAAAAGGCCAAAGTGTCTTTAGTATAGTAGCCCATAGAAATATTAACTCGAATCCAAAACTATTTACACTGAAACTATTTACTTTTACACAATCATGAAGACACTCGTGGTATGTGTATCTACATCTCTCCAACTGTTTTGTGCAGGATTTGGAGACATGTGGCGTATAGACAATACACATGGTTCACCCATGGATACTTTGGACGCAAGCAGCGGCGTGTGATACCGTCTTGCGTGGTATTGAAGATAAAGCAGCTGTACCAGAAGCCAATGCAGATGCGCACTGGGGCTTTGAGGAAGCAGTTGGACATGATGATGATGATGATAATGCTTCTTGGCCTGGTTGACGTTCACATAATCATTGGTGCATGTGCATGCAGAATGTAGAAAACAGTTGACAGACACGATTTATAACTATTCTTGACTCGGGCAATATTTGTGTTTTCGGGTGGGCGCATGCTTTGCACCAATGCAGCTGCACGAACAATCTGGTAAAGTTGACAGATACAATGGCACAAGACTGTACTGTGTTCGGGAGCATGGGGTTGTGCCGGTGCCGTGTGCCGTTGCGAATCCCGAGAATGGTTGTATGCACATCGTTCAACAGGTCCTTCAAGAAGTTGCAGGACATTGTCGTGCAGCTTCTTGGCCACTTTGTTCTTTTGGTGTATTCCAGCCTGTACCTGAGCACACCCTCCTTGGTTTTGGCGTGCGCTCTCCCAATATTGGCATTGTGGGACAGACATGCCGACTGTACCCGTGCTCTCATGCCATTGTACGAAAAGTGGACACGTTTTGGTGCCCACTTCAGTATGACAGCATGGAAAATTTCCAGACTACAAATCATACTGTACCTTGTATTTGTGGCAGTGTAGCTGCAACCGGAAAGTAACGCAATGGAAACTTACAGATAAAGAGAACCGAAATAACACACATGATAACGTTCCATGTACATTACATCAATTCTCGACTTCACTGACTAGGATTTTGAGTAGAGGACTTTGAGTAGGACTGTAGTCGTTTAGAGCTACGTTCTGGACGGCACAAAATCATGCCGTTCACTTACCTCATCGTGCTCACGTTCCTGGAAGTAAATCGAAGATGGTCTGCTTTTGCTGGCAGCAGAGGTAGAGGAGCTACTAACTATTAGTATGACATGCACCGCCAAGTTTCAGGATGGCAGAGACCCTGGCTTCAAGCGTCGCTGCTGCTTCTGCTTATAGCCACCAATGCTTTGTGCAAACTCTTGTTGGAAATCTCTTTCATAGCACATCTCAGTGAAATGCTCAGTGCAGACACGATTATTTTTCGTCCGAGAAAAATCCTTCCAACATACTCTCCATAGCCAAGCTGTCGTCAGGTTCGCGTCAGCCAGAGGAAAGCCATGCTACGACAGCCCGCAGGCGCCTCTTTCTTCGTGACATTGTTGCATCCAGAGACGCAGCAGCGAGTCGTGACAATAAATCGGGCATGGCACAGAACAACAAGCACTTCAACAATCGCCAAGGACTTTTCATTCTTGCTTCAATTATTTGAAAATTTCATCTGAGTGGACCGGGCTGAGAACGTTTTACGTCACAGGGTGGGAGGGGGCCCCCTCGTGCCAAATATGGAAAATTGCAATTGGTAATTTAGGTATGTTATCCTTGTCGTAGAAGCTTCCGGTTTTCGCCATTCTACCACTTACGACATACTCTAATGGATTCCGCAATAAAAAATGGGGGTGATTTTGGACCGGAGTTCCCCTTTAAGAACTCAGATGGTGAGCCAAGGAACAAATTTCCATGTTGCAAATAATCGCTTTTCAAAGTAAAAAGAAAAGAGCGGGTGGTACAGCAGACTTCCTATTCTGAATTCCCTGAACGAAGCAGAGACATTAGCTGGGTGCATGTCACTATTACACAGTAGCAAGTTAGCTACCTCGGTCGACATCAGTGGACGTGGACTACGAGTGGATGCGACAGCAACAGTGACTGGAATAATGGGTGATACGTTTCATGGAGCAGAGGGTAGTGCTCAGCGAATCGGTCCCTCACCGGCCGCTCGGTCTCGACAGTCCTACAAGTAACCTTTCGTTGATTGTTGAAAGGATACTGAATCAGCTCCTTATGTTCGTACCTGCTCATCTAGATAGCACCGAAGCCTGCATTGAAGACATCAAGAGGCATCGCCAGGTCCCGGATGGCTGCATCATCGCCTCATTCGATGTAGTGGGCCTCTATTCGAACATTCCTATAGATGAGAGCATTTCGGCCGCTATTACAAAGCTGGAGCAGCATAAAAATGATGTCGACATGCTTGGATTGACGGTTGCGGATGTACAGCTGATGTTGCAGTATGTTCTGTCAAACAACTACTTCGAGTTCAATAGTAAACAGTACCGGAAGCGTGGAATTGCGATGGGGAACCATCTGGCACCTCCGCTGGCCATCCTCTTCATGGATGCGCTTGAGCAGAAGGCTCTCTCGACAGCTACAGTGAAGCCAGATCTCTACAAGCGATATATCGACGACTGCATACTACTGTGGAGACATGGCTAGAAAGGTTTAGCAGCACTCCTAGATCACTTCAACGGACAGCACACTACTATCAAATTCACAATGGAACACTCGGTCAACGAAACTCAGTCAGTGAACTTCCTGGATCTAGCGCTGTCTGTGCGTGGAAACAGCATAGAGTGGGAGCTCTATGTTAAGCCTTGCCAATTTTTCCGCCAGTAGTCTACAGTCCGAGGTGGTATTTTCTAGAAACTCGTAACCAGTAGGAGCACACAAATTCTTTAGAGCTGTTTCTGACTAAGTAAGTTGTGGCTGCTGAAAACGATAAAAGTATCGGCAAGTCTGTACAGTTGTCCGTTTGTTAGATACCGTAATAATAATCAATTATAATAATTAAAAAGCTTCCGTGGAGATAAAAATGTAATCAACGCAATAAATAGAGTAAGCTGCGCACTCAGTACAAACACCATAAGCAAAACTTGTTTTCATGTATAATAAATAAGCTTGTTCCTAAACGTTTTCGTCGCCATCTCATCAGAGGATTACTGGCAAATCAACAAAAGCTCTTAACTCAATTTATCACATGGCACGTGATTGTTGCCCGTACTCCAGCGAATCAGCACCTTTCGCGCCGCGGGCAATAATATGCGATATTGCCCGCAAAAAAATAGTTTATTTGCCCGCAAAAAAATAGTTTATTTCAGTGATCGCGTGACTACGACGACTCTGTAGACTGTACGACGAGTCGCAGTGTAGCATTGAGACGAAGATGGAATTCTTTTTGGAGATGGACATCCCGGCAATGGACATGGCCTCGGACGTCTGCCGTGTGGTGCTTGCAGGGATCATTTGTTCAGTCATGTTGGCAGCCTGACCGTCGGTAAGCTTGTGGATAAGATTCAGTTCTGCTCGAAGTGGTACTGTGATCACAAACAATTATTTGAAATAACACAAATTCAACTCAGCGTCGTGCGTTTTCAAATCCTCGCAAAGTCACTGCCTGTGTGTGGTCTTCATGTGCCACGCAAAACTCTTACCAGGCTCATGCTCATCTGTCCTCTGCCTTCACCTTTGCTTGAACAACAAACACAACAATTCAGGAATGTTTTGCAATGAAAAATACAGCTATCTGGAGCTGAAAAAAAGAAGAAAAATTGTCCTCAGAGTTACACACCAGGGAGTCGTCAAATACTTGCACTTGTTGCAGTACTGTATTTGACGACTTCCTGATACACATGTAAACATGAAGAAGCTCTTTGTGGTAGCACTCTTAATTTTTCAACTGAAATTATAATTCTGCTGTATTTTATTGTCGTTGCCATGTCTATTGCTATGACGATGCGGTGCCGGCACTTTTTTCTGTCTCCTTCTTTCAGTACTGTATACTCTCTGATGGCCTGTAGCAGACTTTTTGTTAGGGTGTAGGAGAAATATCTTCATTTTTCCTGTTTTGATAATGATAGCACATCAATATACATTGTGGTCATAATGTGTTGGCATTTGGGCTAATTTCAACAGCAGCCCAATGGTCTGCTCTGTGGGCCATGTGATAAATTTGTTATCGCATGGTTGCTGCGGGCCTTATGGCATATTATTGCCCCTCGAGGTTAGCCCTCGGGGCAATAATATGCCATAAGGCCCTTGCAACCATGCGATAACATATACATATATACGCACAATGCAAGTAATAATTTAGACCCTAACTAGCGCGATAAAATGAGAGCTGAAAGAAACATTACACCATTCAACGATATCAGGTGACCACAAATGCGATAAATTCACCACTAGAAAGTCACCAAGCAACCACAAACGAGAACTACTGATCTAAATTCACAAACAATTTCAACGTAAACAAATTCTTTTTCTGCCTACACAAAATCGGCCTGGTGGTAAAAATGTAAATAGACTCCAATACACGCAAATACCTTTGACTACGTGAACGAGACCAAACAGAAAAGCAATCATCAGCATAACTAGAACGACAATCACTATTCTGAACAAGATGGTTGGCGATAGAAGATTCATACACCCTAACAACGCTACTAGAACCAGTACATACTTTGGAATTACGTGACAATGAAACCGACCTGACATTCCTTGCCGCTACTGCCAATCCAGACGAGGCCGATGTAGATGTCCGTACCAAAGGCACGTCCGTTGCTGGCACTGCCTGCTGCGATGATGCTCCCTTTGACGTTCCAATGGCTGTTGATGTTGATGAAGAGGAGGAGGGAGATGAGGAAGACGCTGACGACGACGATGACAACAACGACGGAGACGATAAAGACTCTGCTAACCTCGCCCTAGAGCGAGTCACTGGTCCCGCAGACACACCATCCGGTGGTTTCTTCGGTGGCCGGCCACGCTTTTTGCCACCGGAGGTGGACACACCGGATGACGGTACAGAGGAAGTCAAAGAAGACGAAACCGCAGATACCAGCGATGATGACGGGATAGGAGGAAGAGACGGTAAAGACGAAGGCAATGACGAACAAGCCGATGCCGACGAAGAAGACAACGACACCCCAGTTGGTTCCGTCCCCAGCGAGGGTGCACCTCCAGTCGCAGTACCAATCTTTGGGGGACGACCTCGTCTAGGCCTTGACGACCGTGCCTCAACAGGCATAACGCTTTACCGTCTCTTCCTCCTATCCCGTCATCATCGTTGGTATCTGCGGTTTCGTCTTCTTTGACTTCCTCTGTACCGTCATCCGGTGTGTCCACCTCCGGTGGCAAAAAGCGTGGCCGGCCACCGAAGAAACCACCGGATGGTGTGTCTGCGGGACCAGTGACTCGCTCTAGGGCGAGGTTAGCAGAGTCTTTATCGTCTCCGTCGTTGTCGTCATCGTCGTCGTCAGCGTCTTCCTCATCTCCCTCCTCCTCTTCATCAACATCAACAGCCATTGGAACGTCAAAGGGAGCATCATCGCAGCAGGCAGTGCCAGCAACGGACGTGCCTTTGGTACGGACATCTACATCGGCCTCGTCTGGATTGGCAGTAGCGGCAAGGAATGTCAGGTCGGTTTCATTGTCACGTAATTCCAAAGTATGTACTGGTTCTAGTAGCGTTGTTAGGGTGTATGAATCTTCTATCGCCAACCATCTTGTTCAGAATAGTGATTGTCGTTCTAGTTATGCTGATGATTGCTTTTCTGTTTGGTCTCGTTCACGTAGTCAAAGGTATTTGCGTGTATTGGAGTCTATTTACATTTTTACCACCAGGCCGATTTTGTGTAGGCAGAAAAAGAATTTGTTTACGTTGAAATTGTTTGTGAATTTAGATCAGTAGTTCTCGTTTGTGGTTGCTTGGTGACTTTCTAGTGGTGAATTTATCGCATTTGTGGTCACCTGATATCGTTGAATGGTGTAATGTTTCTTTCAGCTCTCATTTTATCGCGCTAGTTAGGGTCTAAATTATTACTTGCATTGTGCGTATATATATTGAGTTAAGAGCTTTTGTTGATTTGCCAGTAATCCTCTGATGAGATGGCGACGAAAACGTTTAGGAACAAGCTTATTTATTATACATGAAAACAAGTTTTGCTTATGGTGTTTGTACTGAGTGCGCAGCTTACTCTATTTATTGCGTTAATTATAATGTGGAAGAGAAAAAGACATATGGATACGAGTTAAGAGTAACTCTCCATCACTGTAACATGATACTATATACAGTCAGAAAGTGCAATAACTAGGCACAAAACTGACAGAGTACTGAAACATTCGACGTCCTGACACCTAGCTTCAACACATCTCCGTAACGCTAACCGACAGCCTTCCAACTTATAATATTATAATTTGGAAAGGATTGGGAGAACTTCAAATTCAAAGGATCAGTCGGGGAAGTGAACTGCCTGAAAAGAGAAAAAAAACGCCAGACCCACCAGGACTCGAACCTGGGACCCTGCTTGTCATGAGCAATGCTCTAACCACTGAGCTATGGGACCAGGCTGAACCTAGAAGGCGCTGACAAGTTTTTCACTCCAAAGGCAGCTCACAACACGTGCCACACATACTGATGGCACTTGGGTCTTTTTCCCTCCCCCAGGGGACCAACCACGGTCAGTTTCTGGAAACTACCAGAGGTGAAAGAAAGTGATTAAATTTGGAAAGGATTGGGAGAACTTCAAATTCAAAGGATCAGTCGGGGAAGTGAACTGCCTGAAAAGAGAAAAAAAACGCCAGACCCACCAGGACTCGAACCTGGGACCCTGCTTGTCATGAGCAATGCTCTAACCACTGAGCTATGGGACCAGGCTGAACCTAGAAGGCGCTGACAAGTTTTTCACTCCAAAGGCAGCTCACAACACGTGCCACACATACTGATGGCACTTGGGTCTTTTTCCCTCCCCCAGGGGACCAACCACGGTCAGTTTCTGGAAACTACCAGAGGTGAAAGAAAGTGATTAAATTTGGAAAGGATTGGGAGAACTTCAAATTCAAAGGATCAGTCGGGGAAGTGAACTGCCTGAAAAGAGAAAAAAAACGCCAGACCCACCAGGACTCGAACCTGGGACCCTGCTTGTCATGAGCAATGCTCTAACCACTGAGCTATGGGACCAGGCTGAACCTAGAAGGCGCTGACAAGTTTTTCACTCCAAAGGCAGCTCACAACACGTGCCACACATACTGATGGCACTTGGGTCTTTTTCCCTCCCCCAGGGGACCAACCACGGTCAGTTTCTGGAAACTACCAGAGGTGAAAGAAAGTGATTAAATTTGGAAAGGATTGGGAGAACTTCAAATTCAAAGGATCAGTCGGGGAAGTGAACTGCCTGAAAAGAGAAAAAAACGCCAGACAACAGGCGGGTGTTCTTCTCGTGTTGTCTGTGGCGGAATGATGATTGGTGGTTAAAGTAGCGTTGTTTGAATGCTGTTGCTCCAGTATACTAAAGTCTTCTTCTTCTCCATACCTGCGGTGACTCTTGCCTTATACACGATGCTCTCCGTTAGACACGCTCCGTCCAGTGGACATGAGTCTTTCGCCCGACAGTTACAAGTCCTGGTGTCGTTGTCACCTCCGCTTGCTTGTTTCTTGGGTCGAA